CACCCCCTTCATTGACCCCCACGTCATCCCTTCAGAATTGAAGACCATCGCACAACCCTCACTGAAGGTCGTATCAGTGCCACAAAAGCCATCAAGACACCTACCAAGCGGCTTTCGAGACCCATCAACCACTCTCACTCCGGCTGAGCAGTCCCGCCTCAATCGCAGTCGTTGCACTCCTTCCTGGCTCCTGGCTTGCAGTCATGCACGATATTGCCAAACGCACTCACCCCTCTGCTCAAGAATGGCGTGATGCTCTTTTTCTCCGATTCGGTCTTACCCCCCAGCCCTTCCAGCTCTTTGTGATGGCTGTACTGGTCCCTTCAGCGTTCCACATTCTCTGGATTGCAAACGCGGCGGCTTAATCATCCGTCGCCACAATGAAATCCGCAATGACCTTGGTTCTATTGCATGTGAATGCTTTGGTTCCTCTAGCGTCCCGTCAGAACCACCCCTTCCATCTGTCCCCGCCCCTACTATCCCTGCCGGTCACCCATTCTACCTTCCTCCCTTCCTCCCCTCCCCCTCTAAAATCCCCCACCAGCCCCCGAGCTCTTACGTGGTGATATTTCCATTCGCGGCTTGTTTGACCGAGGTACTACAGCTATTATTGACGTACGTGTCACTTATTTGGACTGTGCCTCTTACTGAAACAAAGATCCTGTCAAAGTTTTAACCAAACAAGAACGCGACAAAAATTCCAAATATAAAGATGCGTGCAAGTCCAATCGCGCTTCCTTCCACCCCTTTGTTGTTTCAGTGTGATGGCATGCTTGCCCCTCAAGCCAAGCTCTCTTACAATCGCCTTGCTTATGTCACTGCCATCCAAAATTCAATGCCCACTCTCAAATGTGTTCTTCATGCAGACCGTATCTCAATTGCCCTTGTGAAAGCTACACCTTATTTATGTCTCCGTGGATGAAGCCAAACCCTTTGCCCCCCGTAATGGTCCTCAGATTTCTGTGCTCCCTGATCCCACAGAACCTGTCCTGAATTTCGACTGTTCTTTGCTTAAAGCCTGGCCCCGGCTGGCTTCCGTAGTATAATTTCCCTACTCTATCCCCCCTTCCGTCTACTGACATGCGGGGACGACCCCCTTATATAATTCATAGGTGGCAAAGCTGCTGGCAATATCTTTTTGCACCATACGTACCCTGACCCTAATCGTATGGAACCTTTCTGGACTCAATCACCCGTGAATCGAATGAAATCGATTGTTCAACCACCCCGATGGAGCCAGAGCCGAGCCCGGCCATGATGACGCCATGGCGCTGTCAAAGTTTTGTTTGTCTTGATTCTCGATTCACCGCCTCTCTTCTACTATGCATAGTCATGACATTGTATCAAGACGACAGGGGGTTTAGAGTAAGGAGGTTATCTACGACTGCTCAAATGCTTGAGTTATAGTTAGATCATGGACGACAACAACGTCGATGCCAAGGCGCTGGCAACGCTGGGAGTTAGTGTGCACTGGCTTCAGACTGGGTTCATGGAAGAAGTTCAAGCAGCGGGATTTGATGAATCGGCCACCATCTACAACATTGAACCCACGGTGATTCGAGAAAAGGGCAAGGATACGACGTGCCCCGTGGATGGAAGAATTGGCGCATCCTATGCTCATGCATTATTATTGCGTTGTCTGGAGCAAAATAATGAAAAGTCTGTTGTTGTTGGGCCAGCCAATTTCATGTTGAGCTATGGGTGGCGATACGCCGTCCGAGATATTGTGGAAACCCTTGTTGATTTTTGCCAGTCCAGTAGCCTGGATCCAAAAGACACCTACATATGGATCTGCTGTCTCTGCAACAATCAGCACAGAGTCAAAGAGATTCACGAAAAGGGAGAAAGCGTTCCATTCGAGAAATTTAGGGACGTCTTTTACGGTGAAGTCGAGGGTATTGGGCACATCCTTGCGTTGATGGCTCCATGGCACGAGCCAGTATACCTAACCAGAATCTGGTGCATCTTTGAGCTGTTCTCGGCCGATTCGCTCGAAACATGCACTGTTACCATCTTGATGCCTCCGAGAGAGAAAGAGGCTCTGAAAGACGACCTGTTTGGAAGCGAAGGGAAGGGTGTAGAATCTCTCTACAAGGCCCTTGGAAGAACCAGGGTTCAGAATGCAACAGCCCATTTCGACGCTGACAGACTCGCCATTTTGAAAATGATTGAAGATGGAAAAGGTTGCGATTACCTGAACCACAAAGTAAATGATCTGTTGAGATCTTGGGTTGGAAGTGTGGTGACCTCATTTGCAGATTACTGGGACAAGAAACCGAACCACGAAGAGTCTACGGACGCAGCAGATGCATTCCACAGCATTGCACAACTCCTCGAGAACATTGGGAAGTTCGATGATGCTCAGATGGAATGTCAGAAAGCATTGGAAATCAGGGAACGAATTCTGGGAACCCACCATCTTGATACTGCTACCTCCTATGATTGCATGGGATCCATTATGAAGAATAAAGGTTGTTTTGATGCAGCTCTGGTAGAATGCAGGAAGGCCATGGAAATCAGAAGATCTCTTCAGGGGGAGGATCAGCTAGCGATAGCCCAGTCTCACCAAAGTATTGGACTAATCCTCAGATCAAAGGGAGAATACGATGCTGCATTGGAAGAATTCAACAATGCACTAACAATCAGGGAGACATGTCTGGGAGTGAACCACGCCGATACTGCTTTGACGTATGGCGGTATTGCTTGCATCTTGGACGACATGGGGAGCCACGATGCAGCTCTGACTGAATACAGAAAGGCGTTGTCAATTGAAGAAGCGGTGTTTGGTCCAAATCATCCCAAAACGGCAAGCACCTACAATAGCATTGGAGTTGTACTCTCCAACAAGGGGGACGTTGAAGGCGCCTTGTCGGAGCACCAAAAGGCCTTGTCCATTAGAGAAGGAGTTCTGGGCTCTGATCACCCAGATACAGCTCAATCTTACAACAACATTGGGGAAATTCTCTACTCGAAAGGTGACCATGATGGAGCGTTGGTCGAGTTCCGAAAAGCTCTGTCTATCGATTCCATGGCAAAGGGAGCGCATCACCCAGATGTAGCCGCTTCGTACAACAACATTGGCACTATACTGCATCAGCAAGGCAACTTTGATGGAGCATTGATCGAGTACCAAAGAGCACTAGCAATCAAAGAAGTGGTCCTTGGAAGCAACCACCTCGATATGGCTGATGGTTACTACAATATCGGATTGATTCTGCAACAGCAAAGCAACTTTGATGGTGCTGTGGTACATCACCGAAAGGCTCTCGAAATTCGATCATTAGTGCTGGGGGAGAAGCACGAGGATACGGCCGAGTCCTACCGCATGATTGGATCTATTCTGTATAACATTGGAGACTACCCAGGAGCCCTATCTGCATACCGAAACGCATTGGAAATCCAAAAGGAAGTGCTGGGAGAGGACCACCCCAAGACACAGAGTTTGTCAAACTATGTTCCCACTTTGGCAGCCCACTTGGGGACTGTGGCAAAGCAGCAACAATCGTCTTGATATTTGAAGCATCTGGAGCAAGAAGTGGTGTGTCCAGGGCATCAAGACTACTGGGGGGGCATACCCACGAAGGCTGACAAAAGGACAAGGGATTTCCGTGGGCTTAAAAGGATTGCTTCCGTCGCCACTGGCGGGCTTTGAATGACTTGAATGCTAGCAAAAGGCAACCGTCTCGCACGTCTTCAAAACCGATTGTGGCCGTGGGGCTACGAAAGAATCCTGCGGCAGGGAAGACTTGCGAGTCGGCGCAAGATTGAGCGGCAATCAACTGCGTACCGGTACTGGCAGCTCTGATCACGATCGATAGCAGCTGTAGAGTAACAGTCGTCGTGTGGCGGAGGATTGCTGGCTAGTTCGTAGAATAGAAGTGTAGATAGGACTGTCACTCTAATATTATCACGCCGAAAGAATCCACATTCTTTGACTAACTTTAGGCTTCCTCGTCATGCACGCGTACAGTCGTACCGGTAATCACAGACATAAATCATTGAATTTTCCTCCTTCTCGTCGAAGGCTGTCCTCGGCTCTTCGCTGGGCCGAAGTGGCGTGCTTCGAAGCTTTCGTTTTCGCTTTTGACTCAAGTCTCAGGGTTGATTTGTTGGGCCTCTTCTCCTACACATTCCGCATCGCCTGGTGGTACCATTTTCTGAGTGCTGCTTTTGCCAGCCGCTCTTTTGGGAGCCTACAGCTATAGTTGGAGGAGACTTGCCGGTCTTGTACCCTCACAAAAACCTCTTAGCTTCAAAGCTTTGATCTTGGAACTCGAATCTCCCAGCGACGACGTCCCAGTAGGTCATGATCGAGCTACCGCCCCTCCGGATTCCGCCATTGGTCAGGGGTGTGCAACGCGAAATCGCGTCAGGATACTTGCTGCCTCGAGACGTCTCTGCCTGTTAGATTTTCCGGACACAAGAACCGTTGAAAGCACTGGTGGCGGATGGCTATTCGGAAGAGTCTTTCGAAGAGGCACTATCTTCGTCCACAGCGGCGACGAGGACGTTTATGAACTTGGTGATCGACACGCAGGAACACAGTACTCTGGGAGGAAACAGAAACAAGTTTTTATGTAATGAATAATTCTAGCATTCTAGAATGGTGTCAAGCTGTTCTAATGAAGAAGAGCTCGTTTGCTTGAGGCCGTGACTTCCTTCGTTGTCGAATCCATCTTCATCTGCCAAAGCACTCCTGAAGAAGAGTTTCCATGGACCACTTTCAGGTGTAGACACAACAGATCCAGCTGAGGCATAGCACCCAGGATGCATAACTCCAGTCACAAAAGTGTTGTCAATGGTGAGCCCATTGCTGTCGATGAAGTGGCCACTCACATGAGAGTCATCCACAATTGTACAGCCCTGGAAGTGCAGCCTGCTCAGTTCATAGAGTGAATTTCCAAAGTACCAGAGCTCCCCTTCAACTGTAGCACCCATCATGCGAGCATAGTAGGTGAACATGGGAGTTCCATAGAGGAGGAAGACCAGCCAATTCCCAACCCCAAACTGCCAAATGTGGTTGATGTACACCCCACAAAAGCTTTGCTGAGCATGGCTTGGAAGATTCAGCATCACACGTTCAACAGCTCGGGTCAAGAGAATCCAAACAAACAGCTGGCATGCAAAGGCTGCTGTCAACCCAATCACAACAACGACAGTGGAGGAGCTCTTTGTGGCAGCAACGCCAATTTCGTAGGCAGGTATGATGCTAGCAAAAATGACAGCGTTCAGCATAAGTTGCAGCAGTTCTGGAAGGATGAAATCCATGGTCAAACTGGGTTTCCATTGTCTTCCTGCTTGGTTCAGTGCTGTGATATTGTTCCTGACATCTGACCTTGGGGGGATTTTGGATTTGACAATCTTGACGCCTGTACAAAGATTAGAATTGTAGCCAATGCTGCTGTTGATGATCTCCATTTTTGAGTCTGCTTTGTTGTTCAAGTCCAGGGTGCTGGTGGCAACAAATGACTTCCGGATCTTGACAAAGTCAACCTTGGAGGGGAAGAAGATTCGATATGGGTTGCTGAGGCAAGATTCCATATCAACATCAAGCCCATGGAGGAAAAGGATAATATGCCAGAGCCTGGTCTGGCCAAAGAAAGGAGTTTGGGACCAAGATGCAATACGGAAATGGAAGTCACATGCCCAGTTGGTCACCCGACGCCATAGGGAGCCTTCGTAGTCATCTGATGGATCTCGTTTTCCAATAAGGAGCCATTTGAGAGCAATGCTTGGGATGAGGGCGAGGAAGGATGTGAATGGAAACAGCAAGATCCAATGCAAAATGGTAGAATATCGCCAGGAGGGTAGAAGTGCATTGAGAAATGAATGAATCAAGAAAGAAAGTGCAAAGAAGTAGTATGCTAAAGCAATGGTCCAGCCAATCTTGAAAGCATCCAAAAGAGACTCTTCCTGCCATGTTGGTTTTGTATTCTTGTAGGACCCAGAGTTATGTGCTGGGATACCTCTGGCAAGCACTCCCTGTGGCACCACAGCACCTTCTTCGACCACAGAGAGCTTTTCCACTTTGGTACCATTTCCAATCTCAGCACCTAAGCTGACCATGCCAGACACATGACTGTTCTCACCCACAGTAATTGGCCGGAATGTCATCTTGGAGCCTGCTTCTGCTGTGTGAGAGAACTTCCTGCATCTTACTTGGTGAGCAATGGTTGCATTTTCCCCTACTTGTACCAGATCAAATTCACGGATGTAGGAGTCAATCTTGGCAGTCCATGGCAAGTCCACTCCTAGAAGCCAGTAGAAGATCCAAATGTACTTGGTTTCCACTACAAACTGTCCCACAAATGACTCCCAGATTTCCAAGAGCCTGTCAATAAGCCACCATCGCAAGTAGTCAAAGGATAGGAGGTTGATCTGCTGTGGTCGATACTTCCCAATAATGGCTAGCTTGCAGAGCACCACAGCACCAGAAAATGACAGGAGGAACAGAGGGAAGACCAAGGGCAGCAAAATCCAAAAAAATGGGTTGTGGCATTCTCCCACTCCAGTTGAGTCACACTGCTCCATAACCAAGGAAGTCAAAAAGTAGGATGGAATTGCTGAAACTAGTAGCAGTAGAACAATGAAAACTGACCCAATAGCTTGTAAAACACCAAGCATAGGTTTGGAGCAACTTGATCTTGAAGTATTCCATCCAAACTCTTTGTCATTAATGGCACACGTCGGGAAGCTCCTGTCTTCTCTTGCCACAAGAAAGCTTGCCAGCTCCTTTGGGGTGGTGTAGAGTTGTTCAAAGTTGGCGGGCAGAGAGACATGCAACTCTTCTTCTACTTTGTTTCTGAGTTCTGCACTCTTGAGAGATGTCATACCATTTTCGACCCAAGGCTTCGATGCATCAACATTTGGCCCAAGCACAGCTGACTCTACCATCCGCCACGCTTTGTAAGAGTCATTGCCAAATCTAACAAATTTACTTTCCTTCTCATGAGAAGAAGTGTCCCCCTCAAAAGGATCGTCTGGGGTATCATCATCAGTGTCATCAGTCATAAAAGCTTGGCTATTGCTTGCAACGGCAAAATTCTCCCCAAGAGAGGCATGTAGGTAAGATTCAAAAGGGGAATGGTTGGCTTGTCGCTGGTACTGGAGAAGCACAGAAGTGCCTTTCCAGTCACCAGATTTACTTGTTTGTCGAACCAAACCTCTCTTCAGTTTGCCAGAGGTTGTCTTGGGGGTCACTCCTACCTTGAGAATGATTACCTCAGCTGCAGTTAGTCCATGCATCTGGGCGACATGATTGGAAATCTTGACAGCCAGATCAGAATTAGCAGAGTTTTCATAATCCTTGCGAGCCTCAGCAGTAATGCCAATACTGTCTTCTCCATGCTGGAAGGCTGTGGTCCTTCCAGGGCGAATGACATCACCAAAGCTTTGATCAATGGAAACCTCAATATCTGTTGGGTAGTAGTTCTTGCCATTGATAATGATGAGATCTTTGAGTCTTCCAGTGACGTATAGCTTTCCATCAACAACCTTGCCCAAGTCACCAGTGTCAAGCCAGTTACCCTCATAGTCAGGGAGTACATTGCCAAATGTGGAGGCTGTTAGCTCTGTCTGCCCATAGTAGCCAACAGCGACACGAGGGGACTGTGCCCAGATACTCCCAACAACTCCATCTTCCACCTCATTTCCATCCTCAACAATCCGAAGCTTAAGACTTGGTGAGTCCACCTCGCCACAACACACTAGGCCCTCCGGATCAGCAACACCGGATCCACCTGTGAGAAACACAACAGACTCGGCAAGGCCATAGATGTTGTAAATGTGTTCAGGTTTCATGGACATAGTCCTTGCTAGTTCTTCAATCACATTGCTCTGAGCTGGTTCACCCCCAAACATGGCACGTCTAACATGGCTCCAATCAGCATTCTTGTTTGCATGTTTCAATCGCTTGAGGAGCAATGCGTAGGCAAAGTTAGGACCGCAAGTCAAGTTGGCCTTATAAGTCTCAATCATATCATTCCAGAGCAGAGGTCTGGCAACAAAGTCAAGGGGGGAAGCCATTACAATATGGAACCCAGTGTACAAGGAAGACATAAAGCCGGCCACTAGTCCCATATCATGGTATTGGGGAACCCACCCGGCTGCCACAGTATGGGCTAAATTGTCCGAGTTTGTACCGGACATGGAAGCAATGGCCCAACAGTTTTCTGCAAGATTCTGGTGACTGATCATTACTCCTTTGGGCCGACCAGTGCTGCCGGAAGTGTATTGGATAAGGCAAACATCTCCTGGCTCTCCCACAAACCTCTCATAATCTTTTGGCTTTCCCGGTGTCTGCTTCTTGATTGTCAGTCTGTCTGTCCCAACCCACTTGACACCAGTCTTGTAGAAGACACCGGTAGCAGTCATGGCAGCAGCAAATGTGACATTGCTGAGAGCGACTGTCGCTCCAGCATCCTCAGCAAATCCACGGAACTTGGGCATGTCTGTTTTAAGCTGATTGGGATTTGGAGGGTAGATGGAGCAAGGGATAACTGAGATCTTCATGGCACCGAGCATACCGGCCAAGAACTCAAGGCCAAAGGGATAAGCAACCATCACACGATCACCCTTTTGGCATCCCAGCTTGAGGAGGCGGGCTGCCACAGCATTGGATTCATCTTCGAGCTGTTTGAACGTCAGCCGTCTTTCCTCGCGGCACTTGATGTCCACCCATGTGTACAGAAGTTTGTCGGGGGTCTCCATGGCATGGTGCGCCAGGGCCTCGAGGATGGTTGAGAAGTACTTCATTGATGCTGATTGATGTGTTTTTGTTTTGTGAGTGTTTTAGTAAGGGAGAAATGCAGATTTGTAGGCTTCATCTTCGTCGGGTTTGGTGGTGGAACATGACCATGCAGCGGCAGCGCATACGAATTGGGTAACTACGTTTTAACATGGTTTTTCTAGAATGTTAAAACAACAAACGTTCTAATGAGAGCATTTTTTGAGAGCATTGTTTGACAATAAATCTGTTGTTAAAATACAGTTAACGCTCGCTTATATTTATAATCTTATATTTATTCGCTCTATAATATTTATTATATCTCGAGTTCCCCCCCAGTCACGAGTGACCGTGAATGACGTCAGTACACCCTTCGCAAATCTCGTAGCAGCAAAACAATCGCTCGCAATCCATCGCAAACAGTCCAATTCGACAGAGACATACGTGTAAATGCCAATGCATGCCAATGCATGCCGATGAGGTGCCGATGGGAGTTCGCTTGCCTGTCCATTCTCTGCCAGTCCGCGCAAATCTTCGTTCGTGGGGTTTTTCATGGTGTTTTCGCGAGATTTGCGCAGAATGGCAGAGAGGAGACAAAAACAATTCTCTGAGCAACAAAACAAGTGCAAGCAAACCATAACAATTCCTCCAATCCGACCTAGACCAACATGAACGGCGCCAACATGAACGGCGTCAACATGAACGGCGCCAATTCAACCGCAACGAAGAAGAAAGGAGCGAAGAGGGGACCGAAAGCAGGTTCAAAAAACGATGTAGCCAAGGCGAAGAACAGATCTGACTGGTACAAGGCCTGCCATTCCTTTCGTACAGAGTTCAAGCACATGCAAGCCAAGTCGTTCCTGGCATCTTCCGCATCCGGATCCAAGTTCTCAGGAACGCAGTCGGGACAGCAGATAGGTTTGCCAGAGCCTTGAATATGGCCAGGGCGACAAGGGCTGGCAAACGCAAACGTGATGGCACTCTCCACTCGTTCTTTACTAGTGGTTAGTAGCAGTAACGCTCTATATTTAGACACACTGTTATATTTACTGGATTCCTGAATCCCCCCCTGTATATATATCTGAATGTTGACTGTATTAGTACACGACCAGACACACTTCCCGTGAGCACCGGTTTGGTTGTTGACCTGTGGAGGTTCCACGGAATTCATTTCTTTTTGGTTCGGAACCGACTTTGCAACTTTTCCTACAGTGTACCTTGGTCGGTAATTACTGCAGTAATTCCTGGTTACTGGTTACTTACTGTACTTTTACTGCCTTTATTGGCCAGTAGTTACTGCAGTCAGTAATTCCTGGCAGTAATAAATCTGCCAATTCAACAGTAATTGACAGTAAATGACAGTAAAAGCACAGTAATCACCCTATTTTACTGCAATTACTGTGATTTACTGCCTTCAAATGGCTTTAAATTACTGTACCTGATTACTGCTACTGAGGAATTACTGCATTACTGCCATTACTGCTACTGTTTGGCCCCTCCAGTCAGTAATCAGTAAACAGTAAATACCAACCAAGCAGTGTACTAGCTAGCTAGCTACAGTAGATCTAATTCAAAAGACTTGGCACGTTGCCGAGTGAGAGTGACAGTCCCCTCCGGTTGGCTAGCACTGGTATCTTTGGGTGCTCGCCAGCACAGATAGCGGTACGGGTAGCTGGCAAGGACTTCTCATTCGAAAGGTTTCGTTGGAACATTGCAACTTGGGTGCCACTTCGTCCAGTTGTCAGCTCCAATTTATTTTATTAACAGTCTGTTTCCTTTGAGGACCATCCAAGTGTTCAGAATGTCTTGTTTGTATTTTTTGGTTAAATCCTAGATTAATGTGGAGCCTTCTGCTTTCTGACTGCCTGACACAAGAAAAGATCGCACCACCTGATCAGGTTCCCAAGCAGATTCAGGAGAGTTGCCATTGTCTTCTGGTATGTCAGCAGGAATCAAATCTTAATTCTCATCCCTCATCCCACTCAAAGAAGGGAAGTACAGAACCTTCTTGAGATACTCTTGTGAGGTCGAAGGTGCCAGCGGTTCTATCAAAGCAGGAGTCCCTTTGTGAAACTCACAAGCACCTGTGAACTCAAGGCGTTCTTACTATTACTTACTTGCAGAGAGAGGCTGTGTTATTGTCTCTCATAGTTTCTTTGCGTTACATCACTCTGTTACATCACTCTATCTGTTTGTACAGTATTACTTACTTCTATAATAGCTAGTTCAGTATTCCCATGACACTCCCCATTGTTGCCGCGAGCAGCGATGATTCTTTGGACGAATCGACGCTGACTCCGTTTTCCACGGGCGTGGGTTCCTCTTGGTTGGACCTTAATGCTACTACGAATACGAATGGAGCGCATGGCTTGGACGACATGAAGTTTGTCTCGATGGCTTCTTCGGCAGTGGAAACGACCAGTTTTAGCAATGAAGAAGCAGCAGCAGAAGGAGATCCCAAACTGCACGCCAATACTGCACAGAATCGATCCTCTACTGTGACACAACGAACCGAATTGGAAGCATTGTCCTTGAATGTGGAAAAGACGACGAAACGAACGCGATTCTTGGCATTGTTGGTGGTCCTCATTGGAGCCGCTGCAGCGGCGGCTTTTTTGGCATTGGGCATTACATCCGCCAATCAAGATGCATCGGATTTGTTTCTGGGACGAGCCCGGACCATTGGCGTGGAAATTGGCACCAGTTGGAGGGATTACGAAACGGCCGCCTTGTGGATTCAGGAATCCTGTCGCGATTGGAGACACACCAATTATACACGAGACGATTTTGCACTCCTCTACGAGTTTATTCGACGCATGCCATTGGACTTTTACGGCATGGAATGGGTCCCCAATATTACGCACGATGAACGAGCTAGTTTTGAACAGGAAGGCAAACGGGGATGGAAACTGGAGGAACCACCCCAACAACCTACCGGGCAACATCTATTATGGCACGAAGAAGACGAACAGCAGCAAGAAGATGGATATACTGGATTCATGGGACAGGAACCGGATCCGGACAATCCAGGAGAGCTAATGTACACGGAACGTTCCGAACAACCATTCTATTTCCCAATTCACGTAAGGCCGTGCTTTTGTAGCAAAGATGCCACTCAGAGCTTGGTTGCTTTTGTCCTTGGTTGCTTGTATTCCTTTTTGAGGCGTTGGTGGCTCACAGAATTGTTTTGCCTTTTGTTTCTTTGGATCTTTGTCATTTTGTGTGTACGAGTATAGTTCGCAGAACCCATGGAAGATCACATCAACGTGGCTCATTACGACTTGTACTCGGCGCCCTGGGAACGATCCGCCATTGACAAGGCACTCCAGACAGGACAACCAGCACTCACGGAACGATTCGAATTGCAAGGACAGGAAGCTGGGTCGGGATACAGCGTCGTATTCTATCATCCTGGACCCACACTCGACAATACCAAGTTTGAAACCAAACCCAAAGATCTTGCCCTCATGGTCATTCACATTCAATCACTCTTGCAACGAATGGCACGTCGTACCAACAAACAAGAATACGCCAAAGTATACCTCTACGACAAAACCAATCCACACAAAGATCCTGCCTTTTTGTCCGCACTCGAAATTCTAGGAGACGACGACGACGACGAAACAACACAGCAAAGCAACACACGACCCCTCCCGGAACGACCCTTTGCCGAATTGGCGCAAAGTCACAGCGACAAGTTTTACTTTGAACAAGACTTTCCCGTGGGAGGCCGGACGTGGGTTACGGTCGTTGTCCCCGTCGATGGTACCACGGGGTCCCAATCGGGATCGATTATTCTCAGTGGAGTCTTGATGTTTGTGGCATCCCTCTTGTTGGCGGCATGGATGATCCACAACATGCAACAATCCATTCGTATTCATCGAGTCATGACCAAGGCCGCCGCAGAGGCCACCATTGTGTCGGAAATGTTCCCTGCCAATGTTTGTCGTAGACTGATTCAAGAAGCCGAAGACAAGAATCAGAGTGCCTTTTTTGGTGGATCGGATATTCGTATGGCTATTAGTAGCATGCCAGAACCACAACAGACAAACAACAACAACAACAACTCACCCACGGAACCCACCGAGACATCTTCGGAACCCAATCCGACGGATCTTATATTTGGAGGCACCAAACCGATTGCGGATCTGCATCCCTATACCACAGTCATGTACGTATCATCATTTCACGCATGCAGTGACGGTGCGTCTTCTTTTCTTACCCAATCTGACCCCCCTTTGCTCGCATAATATTTTATAGGTATGCCAACCTGTGCGGATTCACAGCGGCAAGTCATGATACTTGTTTTTTCTTATTGCTGGCTGTCAGAACCCTTCATGCAACTCATCATCACTGTTATTCTTTCTCTGGGTACCGTACGCAGTGGGCTTCTACTCGTACTCCATCGCAGGTATTCCTCCTACTGGAAGTCGTGTACCATGGGTTTGACTCTCTTGCTAAGAAACATGGTGTTTATAAAGTTGAGGTGGGTTGTCTTTTGTTCGTTTTGTGTATACGTGTCCGAGTCCTGTGACGAGTTCTCCCAACGTCTCATTTATTTGTCATTTTCATCCACTCGCGATAGACTGTGGGTGATCATTACATTGGTAAGCTGCCTTGCGCCTGGTGCAGCTTTTGCAACTTTAGGCTGGTCCTCACCCCTGTCTTTGTTGACATTATGAAAGCTGCTGCTGGTCTTCCAAAGCCTCGAAAGAATCACGCCGTTGCGGTTGCAAAATTCGCAACTGAGTGCTTGTACAAAGTCCAAAAGTGTGTCAAGACTCTCGAAACGACCTTGGGTCCAGAAACGGGAGAGTTAGGATGTAAATTTGGGATCCACAGTGGGCAAGTGGTTGGTGGCGTTCTCAGAGGCGAAAAAGGTCGCTTTCAGGTGCGTTTCGCTGCTGTGCTGCTGAACGCTGAAAGTTCTCAAGCAAGGCTCATGATTTCGCTGCTGTCGCATGTAGTTGTTTGGGGACACAGTCATCAAGGCATCGGTGATGGAATCGAGAGGGGTAAGGACTAGAATAATCGTCACTTACTTCGAGGTGTCTCGTCGTAGACCGTCTCACGCGCTGACCATTTTGTCTCGCCACTGCTTTAGGTCCGAAATAAAATTCAGGTATCCGCGGAGACAGCGGAGTTGCTAGAAAAAGCAGGCCGCAAGAACTGGCTGATCCAGAGAGAAGATTCCATTCTGTTGAATGGAAAGTCAATACCTAGCTTCTTTCTTCACATTACTCGAGGGCTCCGAAATAATGATCCGGTGCTTGGACATTTGCCACGAACAATTCACGTTGACGACAAACCTTCCAGGCTTGTTGAATGGAACGTTGCAGTCTTGAGCGGCTTTCTGAAGAGCATCATAGCACGACGGAACTTGGCATCTAAACGGGAAGCGGCGATTGAAGGTGAAGGCACAAAATCGAAGGTTAGATGGCAATCATCTCCTTCTGGGAAGATGGTGCTGGATGAGGTGAAAGATGTAATCACGTTTCCTCGCTTCAACGCAAGCGCTTCGAGGAAGCAAGTCGACACCGGCGACATTGAATTGGATAAAGCGGTGACGGAACAACTTCAGACTTTGGTCACGATGATTGCTGGGATGTACAGGTATGATACCAACAATGGCGCATTGCTGACCCATACCTTGTCTTGTGTCTTGTCTTGTCTTGTCTCACTCCCGCGTTTATCCCTGCATCTGTCTTCAAACAGAGATAACCCCTTCCACAGGTGAGTTTGAGACATTCAGGCATATCTTGTCAAGCATTATTAAAATGTGCTCACCCCGGCCACAGCTTCGAACACGCAAGCCATTGCGCGTTGAGTGTTACGAAAATGATGGAACGAATAGTGAATCCGCGAGACGTCGAAGCCCGAAAGCAGACACGACGCTTCAGTAGTGATTACAAGCTGGAAGCAGCCTTGCACGACCACACCTTTGGTAGGTTCACTCAATCTGCGCCTTTCGAGATGCATCGTATGCCACTAACAAGAACGCTTTTTGGTCCGAAACTCAGGGATCACCAGTGATCCTCTTACCCAGGTCAGTCCCGAAATTGTGTATCACGTCCATCATGTTGGCAGCGTGCCGCTCTCACATTGCGTTTCCTGCATCTCCCAGTTCGCATGTGTGTTTTCTGCCTTGTGTCTTGACCTAGACCATCCTGGAGTCCCCAATTCAGTGCTGGCTGAAGAAAAGACGATTATGGCTCGGAAGTACAATGGCAAGAGTATTGCAGGTCAGTCCAGGAAATTGGGTATCGCGCGCATCACACCGGAATCATGTCGGCGGCATGGAGCTCACATTTGCGTTTTCCTGAAGAACAAAACAGCCTCGATTTGGCCTGGGATCTTCTTACGAAGCCTGCGTACGAACAACTTCGTGACTGTCTCTGCAGTGACGACGAGGAAATGAGACGTTTCAGGTCTCTAGTTGTCAATTCTGTAATGGCAACTGACATTAGTGATAAAGAACTGGGCGCTGCTAGAGCTTATCGTTGGCACCGAGCCTTCGGTGATGAGGACGACTGGGCCGGTCAACAAGAGGGGCAGCAAGTCAAGGTAAACCGAAAGGCAACGATTGTTGTCGAGTACATGATTCAAGCCAGTGACGTTGCACATACAGTAAGTCCATGCATTCTGTTCCTTTATTTTGCGTGGATATGATTTCACCTCATATCTGTTTCGTCACGTTTCTTGATGCCATCACTACAGATGCAGCATTGGCATGTTTACCAAAAGGTAGGAACATTGGGATTGGATCTTCATTAGGTGGCTGTCACCTTTGAGACTTACTCACTGTTTTCGCCATTTTTGTTCGATTCAAACTAGTGGAATGAACGTCGCTTCCACGAGGCTTACAAAGCCTATATGGAAGGAAGGATCAAACAGGTCAGTCCACGGAGCAAGTCGTAGAATTTCACGACAAATGCGTGCTTTCGGAAGTCTCATCCTCTCGCCAATTTCATTCTCTTGCAGGATCCAACCTACATCTGGTACGATGGTGAGCTTGAGGTCTTCGACATGTACGTGATTCCTTTAGCAAAAAACCTCTTTACGTGTGGCGTATTTGGATTGTCAAGCGACGAATTCTTGAACTACGCCCTGAACAATCGTAAGGATTGGGTTGCCAACGGCGAACAAGCAATTCAAAAGTACCTCGAGACGTACGAAGAACGCTACGGAATCTGAGAAGGAGGCGGCACATCATTTTGTAGAATTTGACCTCAGCCTTTATACTTGGCCTTTTGCTGGGATGCATCGTGTTGGTTGCTGCATTTTTGGTTCGTCTACACGATGACGACCGGCTTGGACGCTTATCGGTCTCGTAATCGAGTCCAGTTTTGCGAGCGACAAAAGCCCAGTTGTTTCAGTTTTGTCATACTGAATATATAATATTGTAGCTTTACTTACATGAAGAAACTTGCAACTATGTAACTCTGATACTAGCTAGCTACGATAGCCATCGAGAGGTCGTAGCCAAAGGTGGACCCGACACGAGGATCACGCGGTTGTTCTCCGTCTAGCTAGCTAGCTAGCTAAGCCATGGCTTCTTTGATTGTCATGTAGACTCCAAGAGATCCCACAAAAAGACCAAAGGGTACCAGCGCCATTGTATATTTGGCCTTGCCATACTCGACGCTGTCTTTGCCCTTGACCTGCTTGACGGCTCGAGTGTACAGAATAGCGGGACAAATATACACGATAAAGGCTCCCATGGCAGCTCCGGTCAATCCCACGACGAGCGAAACATCCTCGACACTGCAAGAAATGACCGTGACAAAGGCCAACATGGTTGCCACCAATGGGAAATGGAACTGATCTTTTCCCAATGCCGGAAATCCACAACTATCCGCGGCACCAATCAATCCTTCGCGTGCACCACACATGACCAAGGGGAATCCAAACAGAATGGAAAACCCCGTGGCGAGTCGTCCCAGAGTGCTCAGTATATCGTGTGGATGATAATTCAAGAGTAGATTGCCGCGACACACATCTCCAAATGTACTGTATCCAGCGAGCATGGTAATGATGTAGAGTGCCACGAGAATGGTAAAGGACACATCGACCATACGTCCGAATCGTTGACTGTTGGTATTGCGCAATTGTCGATAAAAAGTGGGGGCATTGTAGTGTGCGATAAACGCCAATCCCAAGTTGGAGACCAGCACGAGCGACGTAAAACCAAATCCCCAGAGGGACGATTTCTGAAAAGAAGGCATGGCGTCCAACAACGAGGCAGCCCCTTCTTGTACGAATCGTCCCGATCCCAATTTGTAAGATCCATCCAATGCTCGCACCACAATAAAGAACACAGTGTAGGAAATGGCACAGAATCCCAAAATGGATGTGAATGCCAATGCGCTCAAGTTTTTAATGAGACTGAGGGGGAGCAGCAAGGTGGCCGTGATGGCAATAATGTTGGAGGTTCGTCCATTGTATATATCGGGCATCCCAGCCTCTTTGAGGAGTGGTGTAAAGACATCTCCCAAGATACCGGAATAGATGATGGAGACTGCCACGCACATGAATGCAATGATGGAATCGACCATGTAGGTTGTTTGAGGTCCAATCGTCCGGGCCCAAAGTCCCTGTGAAAAAAGAGTCCAGAATGTGAGGTTCAAGTTCTCTGCTCTCATGATGCATTCTCGCTTTTTCGATTGTTCCACTCCACTAACTATAACTGACCTTAAAGTCCTTTTCTCCAGTAAGTTCACAGGCCTCTCCAATAATCTTGAAGGAGTGACTGCTAATGATCCCGAGTGCCACACACAGCAAGACGGCGGGGATCCATCCAGTACCCCCCGTCATGCCTGCACTGAGCGCCAAGATTCCAGCTCCCGCCACATTGTTGACCAAGTTAAAAACACAGGATATCATGCCCGCAGCGGTGGAGTCATCATCTTGCACTTGTTTTTTCTTGGCTCCTCCGCCACGAGGCGTTGTTGCTAGAGTGTTATCGGAGACAGCTCCTCCCCGCATGTCCAGTAGTAAGGAAGTCATCTCCATGGTGCCTTCATCATCTTCTTCGCCATTCCAGCTCTCATCCTCGTCTTCTTCTTCTTCTGCCGAGTAGAATGTGTCATCATTACTGATCGATCGAGTGACACGTGGGGATGTCAGCTCCACCTGCTCATCATCATTCTCAGCTTCCTGTGCTGGTTGCTCTTGCTCTGCCTTATTGCTGCCATCAGTGAGAGTGTTGCTGTCGCGCATGTTTCTCATAAAACTACTTCGAGGCGACAATAATGTGTCTTTCCTCCATGCCAACAGGTTGGATGTCACGGAGGATGTCTTGCGAAAGAAGGGATCTCTGCTGGTGGCAACAGAAGACTTAAAGACACTGGAAATCACAATCAAGAGCAGAAGCGGTCGCATCATCAACAAAGCAGCAAACGCCATGGTATTGCAGAAAACGCAAGTTGTCAATAGCTACTGAGAGGTGCTTGTCTACTACTGAATAAGACCTACTAAGCTATTGCTTCAGCTCGATCAATGTTGGCTTCAGTTTTTTGTGGTCGCCGTGGCCATGGTGTCATATCTCTTGTTGCCGTTGGGCAGGTGTCGATCGGCTGCAGATCTTTTTCAATGACGTCATAAAAACAAAAAGATACGGCATGCATGTTTCAAATATCCAGGACTTGGCCATCACCACAAGAAGAGAACCGAAGCTGGCACATGGCGGCCTCACTTTTTGCGTCAATAACTTGTTGGCATTGCTACTTTTTCCTGGTTGAGTATATGTTCATACCGTAGCTGACTTTCAAATGCATGCATCAATAATTCGCAGTCATGCTGGTAGAGAACTCCACATTAGCCAGTCGTGATACTTTCAACACACAAACCCAGCAATGACACAAAATACAACAAGAAGAACGAAAGATGATGAAACGATTAACGCTGATCCTGTCGCTGATGATTATGCTGCCAGCTGCCGCAGCTGGCAGTACCCTTCGTGGTCGCCGTACGGAGGACTATGGCGGTGCACCCATCGTTGGTGGCAGGGTTACAGACTTTGCGGATCATCCGTATTTTGTGGATTTGGGGTCCTGTGGAGGAAGTCTGCTGTTGCATGACATTGTCTTGACGGCAGCACATTGCCGTGTTCCAGATTTCGCGTACGTGGGACCAGAACAACAGCAAAAAACAGTTATTTCTGCTGTCATACACCCGGACTATGCTTCCCAGCATTATGATTTTATGCTACTCAAGATTGACAACCATGCCGAGGTATCACACGGATCTTCCAGAATACCACTCAATGATCAAGACGATATTCCTTCGGATGGTGAAGTGCTCAAAGTCATCGGAACGGGTGTCACCGAAGAGGGTAACTTTGGCAGCGATGGTCTATTGCGACTAACCTACGTCCGCTACATTCCAAATTCCGAGTGTACCGACAGTTATGGGAGTTCCATTGGGGATGATCATCTGTGCGTCTGCTGCGATCTCTTGTGCTCGATGGGTCCGATTTCCTTTTTGCTAACCTTGCCATATCTTTCTTCCCTCATACTACTACAGGTGTGCAGGTGTTGAAGGTGGTGGCAGAGATTCCTGCCAGGGAGACAGTGGTGGACCCATCATGGCAGGAAATGTACAAGTTGGTATTGTCTCCTGGGGCATTGGCTGTGCTCGTCCAGATTTCCCAGGTTGGTGGGAGCCGACTCTTATAATGGCATCGTATGTATACATGCATACATCTGCTATAGACTAATACGTTTCTGTCCTTTTTCTTTTGGAAATCACCAGGTGTCTATGCTCGGATCTCTGTGGCCTACAATTGGATTCAACGTATGATGTGCTGCCTTTCCGAAAGCCCTGCCGCAAGCTGTGAACCAGTTGACCCATGCGAATGTTCAGACATTCCCTGCCAAAGCAATGATGATGGAACTGATTCACCTACCGGAAGTCCCACCTATGAGCCAACAAACTCTCCTACCGAAAGCCCCACCAACGCGCCAACAAATTCTCCCACCGAAACCTCAGATGAGAACACTCCAAATCCGACCACAGATGAACCGACTCCAAGCCCTACTCCAAGCCCGACCACAGATGAGCCAACTCCAAGCCCTACCGGTACCACAGATGAGCCTACTCCAAGTCCAACAACAGAGGCGCCTACCCCAAGCCCGACCATGGCGTCAACTGAGCCTCCTACTGGGAGCCCAACAACTTCACCTACGGACCCGCCAACTGACAGCCCTACTGCTGCACCCACTGACCCTATCACTGATAGCCCAACCATTTCTCCCACAGATGCCCCCACTGATGGATGGAATATTGATGGAGGTAAGTTCTCTAAGTTCCGCTCGAGTTGTGTAGCTCTAGCTAGCATCTCTGTTCATTCCCCCCTCACATGTTCAATTCTCTCTAGGCTATGGCGATGGCTACGACAACGATCTCTTTGGTCGCTTATGACACCCCTGGAATGGACCAACAGCCAATTCATGCAAACACAAACAGCAAAGCTCGGACAAAGCCAGCCGACCTCTGTTGGTGGCACATCTGCCTAAGGCTGGCCCTCGCTGGCTGCCATAGATAACTTCCCTCCTCTACTTAAACCCCCTCTCTCGCCCAGTTCTCCAGATGCTTTTGCGCGAGTTTGTCAATGAACCCTAAACTAAACTTGTGTATGGTGTGATCGTCATTGCAATCTGGCAAGAAAAATCGAATGGTCCTCCGCAGCAAGGATCCTCTCGGCCAAAAAGGATGCTGTTTCCTCCCTATAGCTAGCTAGCCATCCAGCCATACTGGAGCATTCTGTTTGCAAACCTGAGCCAAATTGTCTTGCAACTTTGAATGTGGGCTAGCTGGCCTTAGGCTTCAGCTCGATCTCAAGATCTTTGCTGCCTTCGGTTTCGGGTGGTCGACCCACCTGGCCATGGTCTCATGGCTCTTGTTGCTTTCCAGATCCTGTGAATGACGTCAAAAAGATACGGCATGCATGTTTCAAACAACCAACGACAGAAATAGTTACCGGTGCAAATGTATGCATCCCGCTCACGAACCTAGCTTTTGTAGCTACATGTACAAGAAAACAGAACTGTGGCTACAAGAAAACAGAACTGTGGCGTCACTTGCTGATTTTTTTAACTTGTTTGCTTTACGTGTAGTGGTACAGACCATTGGTCGATTCATCACTTCACGACTGAAGCTTAGGGGAGGCGAGGGAAGTAACGACTTCTACGTATACATGGAAAGAGAACTCAAGAGGCTGTAGCTGGTACCGGTCCGCGGAAACAGGAAGTTGAGGGAAGTAACGACTTCTACCAAAGGAACCTGCGCCGGTAGCGAGGCGCGAGCTATCATAGGAGTGTTTCATACTAGAAGATACCGTAGTAGGCAGCTCTCGTGGCAGGCATCCGCGATCCCAATGATCACACAGCCGATTCGCGAGGCTTCAACACAAAAACCTAGCCAGCTGTGAAGCCACAAAACTAATTAGGACAAAAGATGAAGCAGATAATGTTGATGCTATGGCTGATTATGCTGCAAGCTGCAGCTGGCAGTAGTACCGGTACCCTTCGTCGCCGCCGCACAGAGGATGGGGGCTATGGTGGTGCTCCCATTGTTGGTGGCAGGGTTACAGACTTTGCAGATCATCCGTATTTTGTGGACTTGGGTTCCTGTGGAGGAAGTCTGATTTGGGAAGACATAGTCTTGACAGCAGCCCATTGCCCTGTTCCAAGTTTCGCCTACGTGGGACCAGAACAACAGGGGGAACGTGTCATTGCTCATGTCAAACACCCAGACCGTGCTCCCGTACACCGTTACGACTTTATGCTGCTCAAGATTGACAACCATGGCCAAGCTTCACACGGATCTGTCAGAATACCGCTCAATGATCAAGAGGACACACCTTCGGATGGTGAAGTGCTCAAAGTCATCGGAACGGGTGTCACCGCAGAGGGTAACTTTGGCAGCGATGGTCTCTTGCGACAAACCTACGTCCGGTACATTCCCATTTCTGAGTGTGCCAACAGTTATGGGAGTTTCATCGAGGATGATCATCTGTGTGTTGCTGTGATAACCACTTCAAACGCTGCTTGGTCAAATTTCCTTCATTGCTAATATTGCCATCCCCCCATACTTACAGGTGTGCAGGTGTTGAAGGCGGAGGCAGAGATTCCTGCCAGGGAGACAGTGGTGGACCCATCATGGCAGGAAAAGGTGCCGGAACTGTACAAGTTGGTATTGTTTCCTGGGGCATTGGCTGTGCTCGTCCAAATTATCCAGGTTGGTTGGAGCCGAGTAATATTATTGCACTGTAGTATGCATATACTGGACCAATGTGTGTGATAAACGAATACGTGTGTTGCTGTGTTTTCTCTTGAAATAACCAGGTGTCTATGCCCGCGTCTCGGTGGCCTATGATTGGATTCAGCGTATGATATGCTGCCTTTCGGAAAGCCCTCCGGCAAGCTGTGAACCAGTTGACCCATGCGAATGTTCAGACGTTCCCTGCCAAAGCATTACTGAAAGCCCTGATGGACCCGATACTGAAAGTCCTTTTGGAACCGATCCTCCCTTTGACGGAACCGATTTTCCTACGTTTAGCTTCACCAGCGCGCCAACAAACTCTCCGACCGAAAGCCCAACCAATGCACCAACAAACTCTCCGACCGGAAGCCCAACCACAGATGAGAACACTCCAAATCCGACCACAAATGAGCCCACTCCAAGCCCTACTCCAAGCCCGACCACAGATGAGGCGACTCCAAGTCCTACCGGTACCACAGATGAGCCTACTCCAAGTCCAACAACAGAGGCGCCTACCCCAAGCCCGACCATGGCGTCAACTGATGCTCCTACCGGGTTCCCAACCACGAGACCCACTGACCCGCCAACTGACAGCCCTACCATTGCACCCACAGATGCTCCCACTGATGGATGGAACATTGATGGAGGTAAGTTCCAAGTTCCGCTCGAGTTGTGTAGCTCTAGCATCTCCATTCATTTCCCCTCACATGTCCTTTCCTCTCTACCGGTAGGCTATGGCGATGGCTACGATGACGATCTCTTTGGTCGCTGATGACAGCCGCGGAATGGGCCAACATTTCATGCAAAACACAAACAGCAAGGAAAGATCTGGCAAACCCTCTGAAGAAGATACGCATACGCAGCCGAGCTATCTTGGTGGCCCTTAGATAACCTCCATCCTCTACTAAACCCCCCACTCTCGCCCAGTTCTCCTGGAACTTTTACGCCGTTTTGTCAACTCTCCGCCGCTGCTTTTGGACTTTCCACGCCCCACCAGGTTTCAAGAAGGAGGAACTTTGACGACCCTCTGCCTAGCTTAGCCCCCCCCCTCTATGAGGACACGTTTGATTGTGTTGTCAGAAGCATCTCAATAATGCAGAGAACTCTTTCACCAAACTAGCAACAGATGAAGTTATCTTTTTATGCATTAGGACCCACCAATGACAGAATCACTGGGAAAAGAATCAGACCATGGGCCAATCCCAGGACTACCATGGCAAAGAATCCTTTGAATACAATCATGAAAATCTTGGTCGTCGAAAGGCACAGAGGTACCACTCCAAGAAACGTTGTCAACCCTCCCAGCATGATGGAGGAACCCATGGTCACAAGTGTCACCTTGACCCGTTCGTTCCGAGTCATGTTGGGACTCTCGACGATGGTATCGTAATACCTCATCAAAACGTGAAGCAGAAAGTCAACGAGCAACCCAATGGAAACCCTGCATCCAAACAGTGCACAACACAAGTGTCAGAAAGGTCATTTGTGATCGAAAGATTCCGTTTCAGCTTGCAATTCACAGACTTACAAGACAACAAAGAAGAAAATTGGATTGATGTGTAGACCAAAGAACTGGAGTGTTCCCAGAAAGTTGCAGTAAAGTACCAGGATCATGGGAGTCACAAAGAGTGCCGCCGTCCAATGTGGGATCAACAAGAAAGAAATCACGGCCAATGCTAACGCCCCGGACACGATTGTTGAAATGAGCTCTTGAATAGCAATGTCGTAGGCTTCCCAATAAAAGAGAGAGAGATCGTAGAAAAAGAAGGGCCATTCCCCCTTGGCTTTGTCTTGGTTGATGGGTTGGGCAGCTCCAACTGCCCTCTGGTCATGCAACAGGTCTACTTGATCTTCCACCTCGTTGAGATCAATCTCTGTCAAAAAGAGCCAGCACCGCGACGCGACAATGTTTCCGTCGTCATCTCGAATGATATCCTGCCCGTAGACTTCCCGCAGAGTGGGATTATTCAACGCCAGATTGAGTTGCTCCGTAAACGTAAGATTCTGTATGACGAATTTGAGGCTGGGCGCGGAAGCAATGAGTTCATCTTCCATCTCTTTAAAGTCGCGCACCCAGCAAAAGGGCGTGACTTGTCCCGTTTGTTGCCCATCGGTTTGTCCCGCAATATCAAACTCCAACGTATTCAGCTCGGGGAGCGATTCCAGATCATTGACGTACTTGACCATTTGTTCTTGAATTTCGGGATCCGATTGATCGACGTCCCGAAAGTACACTCCAATGGGCCGTACGACGGATGCGTAGGTTTGAATGTCAGCAACGACATCTTTCAGGTAGCTATCCGTGGGTACAAAGTCTCCTACTTTGAACTCTTGTTCGAGGAGCGTACAACTGTAGGCACATGCCGCGGTAAACGCAGCAAACAAGAGCAAGACGACGGCCTTGCCACAGGGTCGCAATATCAGGTCCGCGTAGCGACTCATGATGCGTTCAGGGATACCCAATTGTCGTTCTACAGGTCCGTCATGTTGCTCCTGTGGAGGAGGAGCCTTGGCATCCTCTGGAACAAGACTGGTGCTTTCCATCATCAAAGCTTGTTTGGTGGGTTCCTCGTCTGCTGGTTTCTCATCCATAATGGCATTCGAGGGGACGGAGGTTGTTGTATCATCAATGGGTACATTGGCATGGATCATGACATTATCAACGTCGTCGTCATCGTACGTGCCCTCTGCGATAATTTCGTGTGAGACACTCGTCTCCAAATTGGCACTTTCTCGCCTTTGCTGTTCCCCAAAGTCATCGACATCCACCTCCTCTTCATCATCATCGTCCGTCTTGTTGCGAACATCTTCATCATCATAGCTCACCGACATGGACATGATAGGAGGAGTTGTTGTGACTGTTGCGTCAACCTGTTCTGTCGTGTTGCTTCCTGTAGATGCCGTGGTATCGCCAAGTTGCGTTTCCTGATGTTTTAGTACGACTTGTTGTTGTTGTTGATCTTGTTGCGAATCGATCATGACAAAATCTTCATCCTGATCCTCTGGATGATCAATGATCCAAACACAAATATCTCTTCTATGCTCTTGTATCCTTCGTTCATCAAGTGCAATGAATGAGACAAACATGGTAACCTGGAAGATGAAATCAACCGCAATGGTCACCGCCGCGTCTAACGCAACAGAAAATAAAAAGGACACAAGGTGAGACAAAAATGTGCAGTGAAATAGGTTCCTCGCAGGCACACACACACACACACAAGTTCACAACGTCACGTACACAAACACATCCACCGAACTCCTGGCAATCCGGATCGGAGTCCCAACAAGAATGCAAATACGGTGGTAATAGTCGTCAAGGAAATGGCATGCGAGACTTCCTCCATAGTCTTTCGAATGCGCGGCAATATTTCCAGGCCGTGATCTTGTCGCAAATACGACCCGACAATAATAAAGGTATCGTCCAATCCAATGCCAAAGACACAAAAGGGCAAAATTTGAGTAATGGGTGTAAAGGGCACGCCACACACAAACATGACGCCACATCCAGCCAACCAGGACATGGTAATGGTATAGACCGACATGGCGCCAAGCAGAGTTCGCGACTGCGACGTGGGATGCCCATATCCGTAGGATGCAAAGGTAATTCCGACAAAGGAACACATGATTACGGCCACAACTCCAATCAAGTAGAGATCGCCGTAAATGGCCCGTTGGTATTCCATTTGTGTCGCATGAATGGAAAGCATGGCCATGGTCAAAATATCATCTTGTTCCCATTCCAGCCGAAGCACATCGAGTCGTTCAAATACTTTTTCTTCAAATGCATTGGCATCGTCGTCGAGATCGGGTAGAAAAAAGACCACGAGAAAGGATTGGGCAAATGTGATGGTATCATTGCTGTTGTTTCGAATCCAATTCCCGAGAATGGCATCGTGATAGACCGGCGATCCACTGGCAAATTTGTGTGCCGACAATGCTTCTTGGAGTTGTTGATCGGTTTGAATTTGTTCCTGATAGGCATCGACCGAGTGATCGTCAAAGAATCCCGTGACACTCATGAATCGACACGTCTTGTCACCATCGAAATTGATGTAAGCACCTTGTTGACAGAGGTCATCATAACCGTCCGTCGTCAAGACAGTATGAACGGCAGTAAAGACGCGTTCCATGGCATTCATGTACAACACATTGTCGCCGTTGCGGTGCATCAAGAGGGCGACTTCTCGCGTCTGGTACGGAAATCCATCGGGCGATTCGACCCATTCCTTGTGAATCGCCGGTTGACTGCCGGCGGGAGACAGTACGGCTTCAATGTCCAACTCCAAATGAAAATTTGTCATTAATCCAATGCCGGCAATGGTAAAACTGAGAGTGGGCAAGACGGTCACGTAAATAAAGGGATGGCTTGCCGCATGCATCGACATGGTCACCACGCAGTGTGTAATCAACACTTGCACCCAGCGAGTTACTTTCATCCAGCAGCAGACATTTCTTCTTCTACTAGTAGAGACTTCGTCATCATTGTCACTGGTCATGACTGCCATGGGAGGAGTATCATTGGCTTTGGAGCCAATCTCCGCAACGTCCGTCATCTTTGTCTTTGTCTTTGGTCTACTAAAACTACTTCTTCTCTTGCTTTACTACTGAGTACAGTACAACTAAATCTGGACATGCAGTATACAACAGACGGGTCAATTGAGCAAGTCAGGATGGCAGGATGCACTACAAGGTACCGTACTAGTAGCTAGCTAGCCTACCAGAAGCAAACACATGAAATGAAAAAGGACAACCGGTCCAGTTTGGTTTGGTTTACAAGACCGTGAGCTCGGTTAGCTTGCCAGAGCAAAGAAAGAAAAAGAACCCGGAAAAGAAGGAGCTGTGCACTTCTTCTTCTTCAGCGCGAATGGAATGGAAATTGACACGAATGGCTGACGCAAGCACAATGGTTCATGTATGTCCATGCACAATGTTGCACCAGTACCAGTAGCTGTACTACGGTAGCTAGTACACCAGTACTCACATTATTATTACATGTATGTAGAACTTCAGATTTTTGAACTTTTAGGGGGGAGCAAAGGGGGAGTAGAGAGAAAAAGAGAGAAGATTGATTCCATTATTTCAGTTCCCATCAGATTTGTGGGTGCAGCAAGGATCTTTCGCAACCAAACAGATTGAATCGAGTCAAATCGAATGATCAATCCAATCATTCAACAGGAGGAAAGAGGTGTGATGGAAGTGTGCAAGGCTTGTGCTACCAGTGCACGAAGTGTCAGGAGATTGATCGGATTTGACCCCCCTTCCGAGCAAATAGTTACAGATAGATAGACTCGCTGGAGAGATTGCCGCATCCGGACCTCAATCGATTACCGTACCGTTATGAGCTCCGGCGTACTGTAACACTGCGATGCATGAATGCCAGCTACAGCAACGGTACGATTGATTGAGGGGGTCTAAAGTGCTGTTTAGCCAGCTAGCTAGCTAGCTGGTAGAGATAAATTAGTACAAGGGAAGTTACTGTATCTACCCAACCGGGTGGCCAAGTGGCCAATGATAACAGATTCGACTCCCCCGCCCCTGGTGCGAACCAGTACGTATGTACCACAAGGAACGGTACCGTACCGTACCAGTTGACCACAGGACGCCCAGTGAACTGGTGCAAAGACCGAGAATTACCGTAGGTTTGTTTCCTCTTAGCTAGTATCTTGCAAGGTGAGGCACCAGTTGAGGTTTTGTTGTGGATGTGTGATCGCTGCGGGTATTGCAATTTGCAAGTGCCGGCAGACGAAGTGCGAAATACGGTACAGAAAAGATCATGAGTGGGTACTAATACAGATACACACGTACCTCCAGAGGCAAACATGCATGAAGGGGGTTTAGAGTACGGTACGGTACGGAACTCCAGACTAGGGAAGCTATCCGGGTGCCAGGATTAGTTACCGGTAGTTATGCATTCTATTGTATGTAGGCAAAGAAGTTTGCTTCTTCTTGCAGGCAGCGTACCGGTAGATGGCTGCCTTGCATCGGTCAAATTTGAGCGAATGGTCTCGTCCAAGGCATTGCTTTCACAGCCATATCGCCGAAGATACGGTCCTCTGAAAAGAGATCTGATCCAGCTTCGTACTAAGTAATTCATTATGGTGAAGCCTTTGCAAACAGCCACCCCCCAAAACTTTTAACGGGTGCGGTATGGTGCCAACGGACGATTCCAATCGACTCGGTCCTGTGTCGCAGCCGAAGCTTTGCGACTTTTGCAACTAGTGGGTGCACAGAAGCAAGTGCAGTCCTTTGTGAATGCAGCCTCTACTAATATTACCACGGTTCTGAAGCTAGCTACCGTACCGTACCAGCTAGGAGTAATACTGGTAGCTAGTTGGTTGCTTCGCCACTCCAATATCCTCTATGAAACACCAACAGAGGAGTCCAGGCATCCTCAGTTCTTCTATCCTAATACCAAACCCAAATCCAATAATGTGAGCATAGTAGTAGTACCGCATCAACATCTCTCAGAAATACGGTAAGCAAAAGCAGTCATCCGTGATTTAACACAGGTCCGAACATTTATGTCTTTTCGGGCATCCGATATGTGACAGATGGCTACAGATTCTTTTTGGTTCCAGGAAGATTCTTGAGTCCGTCTTTGTCTAATTAAATCTTTCGACCCCTGGCCGCACTTTTTGGTACTTAGAAATCTTGGGTTGTCATTGTTTTGCTTACCATCGATGCAATGCAATGCAACCTTGAAGCCGAGCCAATGTTTTTTTTAAGCCAATGAAAGATTCAGTTCCATTGTACGGTAACCAAGCAATCCAGCGCATTTCTTTCACAATTTCTTGGTCAAAGCAGAAACTCATTCTTTCTTTGGCAAGCGATTCCATTCCATTGCATCCAACATTTCTCACTTTTAGAAGGAAAGAAGTTGAAGAAAGATGTGTCCCAAAGAAGTCCCCAGCCCTTCGAGCACGGCGTCGGATGGCAGTAGCACCGATGACAAGCAAGCGTTTGTCAAGCACGACGCATCGGCATATCCCAAAGATTGGCCCGGTCCCGGCGATATTGATTTGCATCTGCACGATTTGCCCCATTTTTCGTCGTCGCTGGAATGGTGGTACTTGAACGCCCACTTGGATGTGGTGGATGAAGACAAGGAAAAAGCCAAGAAGATTCAAGAAACCAAAAAGAGCAATCGGCATGGCAAGGATGCTGCTGCTAAGACTAACAACACTACTACTACTACTAAAGAGGAGGAGGAAGAAGACAATGGTCTGTCTGTCTTTTGCGCCTTTTTCCGTGCGGCATCGGACTATGACGAAGAAACGAACGAATTTGTGTTTGTGCACGCCGTGCTGTGGGCCATTTCCGATCATTCCAAGGAAAAATACTACAATGTCTCCTTTGTCGATCCCGATGCGCCCGAGAAACTGCTCGGTAAATTTGAACGCAACAAGGACAAACAAGATCAAGCCGATAAACGCCTCAGTCAAGCCATGATTGAAGTCTTGAAAAAGGGACACACGCCCTATCCCGATCGATGCTTGAAACAGCAGCCACTTATTTGTGGCAAAGATCTACACCGTCTTCCGGCGGATAAGGACAGTAAGGAATACCAACAGTGGAAACAAAAGTTGGAAGAGTATCAAGCACTTCAACAAAAGGAACAACAAGACCCAAAAAACTGCAAAAACAACAAGAAGAAGAAGACGCCCGCCAAAAAGAAAAAGAGCAGCTGCTGTTTCCGAAAGAAAAATGTCTTGGAGTCGGTTGCGCAAATGACCGGATTGCCTCTCCTCTCGCTTGTCTACGACGACAATACCTTTTGCCGCAACCAGGATGGATCCTACACGCTCCATTTGGAAGATACGCTCGTCCATCATGTCAAGACCACGCTCAAATTCCAGTCCAAGACGCCTGCTGTTCGCAATGGCGTCGACGGTGTTGTGGATGGCGATGACATTATTCAAGATTTCTTTTATTACTGCCTCCCCAATTGCGAAGTTTCGGGTACCGTCAGTCTCCCCCAAAATGATCACCTGCCCGAACGATACAATGCCAAGGTGATTCGCAAAAATTACTTTGTGCTGGGAGAAGAAGAAAATGAAGATGACGATATGCAAGAACCATTGGAAGAGGATACGATGCAGGAACTTCAAGTCAAGGGCATTGGCTGGTACGATCATCAATTTGGAGCCAAAAAGTCCCACAAGGCCGCAGAAGATGGACGCTACGAGTTCCAAAATGACAATCCCGATGATGCCAATGTCAAATCCTCCTACACGTGGATCAGTCTCCAGCTTGACAATGGCAATCAGATGTGTTTGGCCAAATCGTATTTGCATGACGATGTTCACGAAGCCGCACAAAACAAGGACAAACCCAAGTATTATGGAATCATGGTGTCACCCACGGGGGAGGTCGATCAACTCGATCCGTCCGATTTTGATTTGATTGAAACGGGAGAACTGTGGGTCAGTATGAGGACCTTTCGCGATTATCCCACGAATTGGGAAATTTCCGTGCCATCCAGGGATACAAACCTGCAACTCAAGGCGGCATTTGACAATCAGGAATTCCCCACCATGAATGTCCATCCTCATTTCTGGGAAGGCGCCGTCAAAGTCAAGGGAACCTTTCGTGGACAAACCATTACTGGAAAGGGATTTGTGGAGCGCAAGGGATTCTGTCCACCCGAGTCCATGACCATTCAACACTTTTTCAAGGTGGTCAGTCGAGAGACACTCAAATCTTGTCGCAAAGTATTGCCCTTTAATCCAGAAGGCGACGACTTGAACAAACTGGTCTGTCACAAGGACAATGCGCACTACACCGAGCACATTGATAGTGAACAGTTTTCCAAGGCATTGGTGGAACCGATCCGTGCCGTCATGGATCGAGGAGGCAAATCCTGGAGATCCTATGCCGCCTTGGCGTGCTGTGATGTCGTCGGTGGAGACAGTCAACCCGTCAAAGACTGGTTGGCATTACCCGAGTTGGTGCATGTCGGATCTCTCATTGTGGATGATGTGGAAGATCGATCCACCATTCGACGTGGTGGACCCTGCTCCCACTTGATGTACGGAGAAGATGTGGCCATTAATGCTGGTACCATGGCCTACTTTTTGGGGCAAATGGTCATCTATGAGGGTGATGGTGATGCACAGAAAAAAGTCGACATTTACAACATGTACTTTGAGGGCATTCGGGCAGCTCACAGTGGACAAGCCATGGACATTCACGGACTGGACTATATGATGCCCGATGTCGTAGAGAATGGAGGAGATTTGTGTCGTCAACGTGTCGTGGCAATTCACCGTTTGAAGTCTGCGGCTCCAGTGAGCTTCTTTTCCAAGATTGGTGCCAAGCTTGGAGGTGGAAGCAAAGCCCAATCCGATGCTCTGGGAGATTTCTTTGAAGCCTTGGGTATTGCCTTTCAGATTGTGGACGATGTCTTGAACTTGCGTGGTTTCACAGATGGGTTGAAGACCAAGGGAGAAGATATTACGGCCGGAAAAGTCACCTACCCAGTGGCAAAGGCCATGTGCCGGCTCGAAAAGGAGGATAGAGCCAAGCTGTGGGAGATTGTGTCTTCGCGGCCAGAAGATATTGAAACCATTGGAAAGGCTGTGGCTCTTATTGAGAAAGTCAATGGCATTGAAGGCAGCTTCCAGGATGCCAAGGATCTCATTGAAGACGGCTGGAAGAAGGTGGATCCACTTCTTATTGATTCTTTTGTCAAAATCAACCTGCGAGCTTTCAGCCTGTATATCCTGGACAGGACGTACTAGCTACCTGGTAGCTGACAGCGTTGGATGAATAAATGTGTAGGGATGTGGAGTCTAGCAAGCATAGCTAAAATAAATAGTGCCCGGTTAATAATATTGCCAGTGATTCTAGTTGATAATAGAGCCATCAGTTCGTGGGGTACCCATCCTCTTCTTGCAACTCCAATGCTTTATGGTTGTTGCAGTGTCACGTGGTTGATCACGCCATCATTGAAGCCCATGTAATCATCTCTCTAGCTAGTCTCGATCGATGACGTTGCCCCCTACTTGGGAACAGCGCAGGATTATGCCCCGGGGTTGACCAGCCACACCGGAACCATGGCGCAGCCCTGACCACGAGACGATCTTCTTGGCTCACGTGACACCTAAAGACGAGATGAAGAATCTCTACTACGAAGGAACTACGCCGCCTAGACTAGCTAGCGGTTCTTACACTGTACAAGGCGGTTGCTGTGTGGAGTACTTCTTTGCTTAGTTAGCATGATATTATTGTTGGCTCTGCTCTGCTGCTACAGTATTACTGACGGTTCCACCAATCATCACCCCAGCCTAAGAAAGAAACGAAAACTCAAATGTTAGCGCAAAGAGAATCTCAAAGAGTTGCATCCAGCCACCTGTCTGTTTTGGCTGCGTCATAATAATGATACATACCTCCATTAATGTCCCAATCATCATCTCCTGTGGTGCATGCCGCAAAGCAAAGAAAAAACAAATGGTGCAAATAGACGAGTTAGCTGATGAACGAGCCATGGTGGCTGGCTGATGAACGAACGAACGAACGAACAAGCCAAGTTGCTTCGTAGCTTCCAACAAACCAGCAAGAAACCAATCCTACTTATCAATCATACGTACCATCTCGATTGCTGTCCACTGGTGCATCGGTAGGAGGTTCCGTAGGAGCATTAGTGGGAGGTTCTGTAGGGGGATCCGTGGGCGCAATGGGTGCATCGGTTGGAGGATCTGTGGGAGCTTCGGTCGGTGGCTCTGTCGGAGGTTCCGTAGGGGGATCAGTAGGAGGATTGGTGGGTGTTCCAGTGGGAGCATTGGTGGTGGGTGTGGCGATGGGGGCATCGGTTGGAGGGTCCGTCGGAGCATCGGTAGGTGGGTCCGTGGGTGGATTCGTCGGTGCCCTCGTGGGAGCAAAAGTGGGATTGCGAGTTGTTGGTGGTTCTGTGGGCGGACTTGTTACGGGTGGGTCAGTTGGTGGGTCTGTGGGTGGGTCGGTTGGACCATTTCCATTTCCATTGCAGTCTCCATTTCCATTTCCCCATCCTAGTAGTAGTCACGCAACGTCAACGATGCAACCGGTATGAATGTGAGAGATGCGCTCGTTGTCGGATTCGATTCGAACGAGTTGCACTGATTTTTTACGTACCGCCACCAAGACTCCAATCGTCATCTGTGTGTTTCGTGGAGTGGAGAGGACAGGACAGGACAAAGTAAGTATGAGTGACTTGGCTTGAGTCTAGAGTATAGCAATGAATTGAATCTGGAGGACGTATGATATGATATCCAACTAACTCACCTTGACATGCCGTGGGAGGGTTAGTGGGTGGAAGTGTTGGTGGATTGGTGGGGGGTTCCGTAGGTGTGCTGGAAGGTACAGGCGGCCTGGTGGGTGTCCCGGTCGTTGGAGGTCCTGTTTGGTTTCGTAAGAGCATAGGCAACGTCAAATAAGTAGTAGAGTGAGCCACACGACAAGATTACCAATACGATGCAATGCAAGGAAAGGAACACTATATACATACCAGGAGTCGGCGGACTGGTGGGTGGATTGGTAGGAGGACTAGTGGGCGGGTTGGTGGGTGGATTGGTGGCGGCTCCTCCACAGCTTCCTGGAGGATTGTCGGAGAGATCGCAAATGCTTTGTTGAATCCATGCGTACGACGAAGAGACTCGAGAATAAACACCTGGAAAGTTGGGACGAGCACACCCTTCTCCCCAGGAAACAACACCCACGACGGTATTTCCTTCAAAGATGGGTCCACCACTGTCGCCCTGGCACGAGTCCTTGCCGCCACCGTCGACTCCGGCGCAACTGTAGTAGTATCATATAAATGGCAAGGTTAGCCACCAAACAAGTCAAAAGCAGTAGTATGTCAGTAAACTTACAGCATGTCACTGGTGATATCCCCTCCATATAGCTGATTGCATTCATTATTGGGCACGTAATTGACGGTAACAATTCTCAACTGTCCATCGTATCCTCCTCCTTCGGATGTGGCACCCAAACCAATGACATCCAACGCATCTCCATCCGACGGAGATCCACCGTTGCTGTTGAGTCCAATAATGGTAGCGGCCGGCACGGGACTGTTGATTTTGGCCACCATGATATCGAATCGATTCGAGAAACTGTTGTAATTGGGATGCACCCGTCGTGCCACCACGTTGCGAGACACTTGGGAAGGACCTAATTTGACCGTCCAGCCACTCCCGTCGCAATGGGCGGCCGTCATGACAATATCTTCCCAAATGAGACTCCCACCGCACCAATCCATGTCCACAAAGTAACGGTGTTGGCTAAAACTCGTCACGGTTCCACCCACAATGGCGGCCGTATTGTCGTTGTTCGTCTCATCTTGCAGTCCACGGAGGAGACCTCCACTGACTAGCACGGGCAACTGCCACAAACAGAAGAGCCAACACACAAGCCAAAATCCAAGTCGAGTCATCTTTTGCACTACTTGAAGGTATGGGATGGATGTACCGGTACTGTACGACTGTAAGAAGATCTCTCGATTAGCTCGAGAAATTCCAAAAAATGAGAGTCTTTAGAAGTCAGATTCTCTCTCTCTCTCCTCCATCCACCAGGTTTCTATTCAGGAACTCGCGAGATTAGCTAGAAGCAAGGTACTGTAGTGCCCAGTTCATCGAGCTAGCTAGCTAGTGGGAAGGAGCGAGAAAAGTAGTTGTCTCACTTTTGTTATTGAGGATCATGGAAGCAAAAAAAGCCAACCGCCAACCAAGAATCTCAAGGAGCAGCTTGCTTGGCATCCAGAGGTCCACCCAGCAGCAAAGTGTTCCACCCGAAACGCGTTCTTGTCTAGCTAGTTCCGAACGAAATTGTTGACAGTCGGATAGTATTTTATGTGATTCTCTAGACTGGTACTTCAGTCGACCGGTACCCTTTGATCATTCGGGAATTATTTCGGTTTTGCAATATTTCGGACCAGGCTAGGAGGAGCGTCACTTGGGGCGGGCATCTGACCATTTCCAGGACTGCGTTGGAGACATCACACTGTCACACACAGTACGGTTATTGGTTGGGATTCGATTCCTCCCTTGCATGCTTAAATCTTGTTACCACCATAAGGACATTATCTAGTAAGAAGACAGTTCCCAGCCAGTCCTCGTAAACCTCGGACTGATGTCCCTAGCCTGGATCTTGCGGTTTGGAACAAAAGATCCCGGTGAAATCAATGAGCCAATGAAGGGCCGCTCCAAAGCGATCTACGGCACCAATCTATGTCTTTATTAGGACTCGTATGTATACTGGTACATCGTATGTCGTGGTTGGAGTTGGCTTGAGGTCTCATCAATGCTCATCATCTAGGCTACATGTAGCTAGCTAGTGTGTGGAAGCGGATCACAAGGAATCCTGCTGTGACTTGGCTCCTGCCTGATCTTCCGGCCGCTGCAAGCAAGCAACCCACAACCCATAGCCCAGTCGGAGGGAGGACTACAGGCTAGTACCGGTAAGCAAGGATATGCAGATAAGCTCCAATTTATGCCTCTGTAGGGATGTTGGATTGGTGCTCGGGCAGGGTCAGCCGGCCATCAACCATCAACCAATCTGCAAGCTGATTCGATTCATTCGGTAAAACCATGCTCCGAATCGAATCGCTCAAAACTGAGGAATCGAATCGAATCCGATTGCTACTCGTACGTTCGCTCTCGACGAGGAAGGGCAAGCAAGCTACGGTACGGTACGGTACAGTACGGTAGCTACCAGTAGATAGAGAGCGCTCAGCCTGTCCCTTGCAGCCACCGCGCCGCGAAGATGTCACGAAAGGAAGAGCGGCCATTTGCTTGGGGGGGGGGCAAGGGATTCATTCTGAGGTCTTGCAGTTTGCTTGATACACAAAACTTCAAAAGTGTTGAGCTGCTCATCATCTCCTTCTTTGGTGTCTCAAGAATTTTTTGCGCCCCCCAACCTCCTGACGACCCATTTCCAATGCCAAGATAGCTGGCTGCCCTTGTGTCTTGCCTCATTCGAGTAGTAGGATCTCATTGGAGTCAGTCATGAATGATGACGGGACTCCGCAACCCAATGAGAAGCGTTCACTACGAGTTGATGCATTACAGGGCTGCACGAGTTGAAATGAGAGGCATTGGTTTGAGTATGCCCCAATGATCTCATAATCAATCGAACAAACAAACTCTCATACAATCAACTCACTCATTCAACCAAGTACACTATGAATCTCTCCCCAGCCTTCCTCTTCATCGCAACAATGGGCTTGCATGCCAACATTGGACTCGCACTCAAGTCCCGCTCCTTGACAGCGAAGGACAAAGTCGATCAGTACGCTACCAAACTAGTACAAGAGCTCAACCTTCCGGGCCTTGCTGTCACAGCTGGCGCCTTGAATGATGATGGAGTCTTCCAGTCCTGGAGTGCTGGCTACGGCTATGCCAACACGGAGGCTCAGCTTCCTGTCACTGTCGACACGTCTTTTTGGATTGCCTCCATTACCAAAACCATTTTGGCGGTGGCTGTCATGAGAGCAGTCGAAACTGATATCCTTTGATTGGATCAACCTATCAGTACTATGCTTCAGGACGTCTTTCCTTCTTTGGATCCTCGCATCCACAATCCAAGGCCGCCCTACCATGAGTGATTGAGCCACCTACTTTTCAAATGGAGTGAGTGGAGAGACCTGTGTTGGGCAAATGTTGGGCTCTTACTAAGAAGTGGCCAACCCCACACAAAGGCCCTGAAAGGACCAGGGCCCCAGGCCAGGGAGGGAGGGAGGGTTGGTTTTATTGCTATTCTAACTGTGTTTGCTTGTGTTTTGGTTTTCAGAATGGCACGATTGTGAGGATCATTGGATCCAGAGCCTTTTGGAACAGGGGCCAGTCGGCCACGATGTGGTGCGAGTGATGTGGTGCTATGTGGCATGTTCCGAACGTGTGGTGGACTCAATTGCCCCATGGCCACAGCGGCCAAGGCCGCCCTACCATGAGTGCTTGAGCCACCTACTTTTCAAATGGAGTGAGTGGAGAGACCTGTGTTGGGCAAATGTTGGGCTCTTACTATGAAGTGGCCAACCCCCACACAAAGGCCCTGAAAGGACCAGGGCCCCAGGCCCTCCACATCTTGGGGAGATGTTCATCTCGGCCAATGGTGTACGGGTGGGTGTGAAACGGGCAAGGGGCGAAGCCCCGGGTGTGAATTGTCGTGTAGGGACAAAGGGCATCAGTCCAGAATGGGCTGCAGCCGTTGCTGGGCATCCTCTGGGAGGAAGCAATGCCGGGGGATGGTGAAGGATCCCCCATAGGCAGCAGTGTCCAGGCTGGAGTGATGCAAATATTCGATCATGGCCCAAGACTTCCAGCGCCCCATCAGACGAGCTTGGAGTGGGTCGACGTTGGCACGGATGAGTGCCATTGCACCACCACTGCGAAGGGCACGGGCACTGATGTCTTTGGCTTGGATGCCTAGGGAGGCACCAATGGCTTTGCAAGCGGATCGCAGGGTGTTGGTGAGGTTCTGGGACGTGATCGAAACGAAGCTGCCATCGGGTTGAAAGGCAGTGAAGAGTGGGGTCTCAGGTGTGGCACCGGAGGCCCGAAGGTGGAGAACTTGGTCACGAACAGCAGTTAAACAAGGAGTCTCCAGTTGTACCATGGGAGATGGCTTGCCCTAGAACACCATTTTTTTTGCTGGTAAAGTAGAGCAGGACCATGGTGGCTGTCGCTAGTTGGTCCAGGGGAGCGGTAGCGGCATTGTAGAGTCAGGTTGGGGTGAGGAAGGTCACGTCTTTGAGACGGAATGGTGTGTTGATTGGGGCAGAATAGGTGTATTCGCCTGGTCGGAGGAGGAAAAACCAGCCCATGAGCAGCATGTTGCGGATCGTTTGATCCCGGGAGGATGTGGAGAGGATGCAAGTGATGGCATGCCGTAGGAGCTGAAGTGGGATGGGTTTGGTCTTGTCCGGTGGTGGGTCGGCCTTGGAGTAGCCGCGGGAGATGTTGGCTAGTTCGATGTGGGTAGTGTTGTGCTCGTCTAGCCGGGGATCCTTACGGAGGTGGGACCCCAGACGGATTTCCTGGGCAACGGCCCGTCCGTAGTCCTGAACCCTTGCAGCGCGAACAGGTTGGCCGCTGGCAGTGAGGCGACCGCATCGAACTCGGGTGGCAAAAACCTTGAGTAAAGAAAGCTGTTGACATGGCGCGAGCCCGTTGGGATGGGGGTCAAGGCTGGGGATTGAGGCAACGGAGGTTTGCCAAATCTGCCAGTAATGGTGTTGGATGTCATTGAGCTGTTTCAGATAGGAAGTAGCAGAGCTTGGAGAGGTGGGGCATTGTTTGTCCTGCCAGGCCGCTGTAGCAGCATTGTCGCAGAGGATGGTGATGGTACATCCTCTATAGATACTTCTGCTGAGCTCTTGGATTAGGATGCCAGGGAGATAAAGGCAGCCAGCTAGCTCACATTCAAAGTTGCAAGACATGATGGCTAGCTAGCTCAGGTTTGCAAAGATGTTGCTTCAGTATAGCTGGCCAGCTAGCTGCAACTAAAGTGTCTGGTTGGCAGAATCCTTGCCTAAGATCTACTGTAGCCACAAGCTATCCAACCATGAAGAGCTCAGGAAGAGCATTTGTTGCCAGATTGCAATGACGAGACGTCTCGGGTGCAGGTGGGTTAGGTTTAGGGTTTATTATTCAGAGCGGTTCCTGGCTTACGGATAACGCTACTAGTACCGTAGTACCTGGTACCTTTAGCACGGTATTCCACTGCAGTGAAAGGCTTGCCTCGGAGTTTGAGCGGCTGTGTAGGCGGTAGGTTCTTGCTTGTGGGTCATTAGCCTTCTGCAACGGTAGACTTCTATTCCACGGGAGCGGCTGGCTAGCTAGAATGTATATTATTAAGGGCGAAAGACTAGAGAAGGGTATTGTAGTGGTCTACGGAAGCCGGGCAGGGATATATTCAGACCCTAATGTTATAGTCCATGCAGTCTCAGAAGACACCCTGGGCTGATATGCTGAGCTTCATCTCGTGTAGTTTGTAGCCATACCAATGCATGTCAAGTTCTGCCGATCTTCCGGCCACGGCGAAGAAGATTCGGCGATATCACGTCGTATCTGAAGATTGTGCTGTTGAGGGAGACTGGTTAGAGCTTTGGAGACAGCCTGGGCTGATGTCATGTTCTGGCCCCAGTGACGAGATGGAATATAGCGTTGTAAAAGTGCATCAAATCGGAGGTATCACGTCGTACCCTTGAAGATCGTGCTGTTGCGGGAGACCTTAAAGAAATCTTGATTTCTCTGCTGGCGGCGGGGTCTCTTCTTTTGTTTGTTCATTTGTCATACTGCATTCATTTCTACAACTTGGGTGGTTGTCGTCCATCCATGGCAGTGGGCCATGGCAGATTGAGATCGACCCCGGCGGCTCCCCCCGATCCCGTGTGTTGTCGTGCTTGTTTTCTCCAGGGTGCCATGAATCCCAGCGCATGCGCTCGTTGTCCCAATTGTGCATATCGCTCTCGATCTCCCACAGCCTTGGCTTGTTGTGCCGCAACGTAGTATCCTTCCGGTAACCCACTGGTAATGAACCAGGATGCCGCCAGGGTTCCATTAATGTGTCCCGTGACGTATCCGTACGTGTGAACCATGCCGAGATTGAATTGGGCATAGACATGTCCCAATTGGGCGGCGGATTCCAAATGCGCCACGGCTTGCACGACCAGTGCATCTTGGTAGTACATATTATCTTGGTGTTGTTGCTGTTGTAATTGCGCTTGCGCCAGTAACAAGTGCGCCATGCCGTAATGTCCATCGGGATGATGCGATTGAATGGCCATTTGAAAAAACTCTGCCGCTTTCGTTTGATCAAACTCGAGTCGCGATGGCAATTGCTGCAAATACGCGCGGGCGACCTTGATGGCCGATCCTCCGGCACCCCCTCGCGCCGCTGCAAAATTCAAATCCAATACTTGATTGTAGGCATCTTTGGCGTCAATCCCTGGCACACTGCCGACTTTGGTGGAATGCAATTGTTGACACAGTGGGGATCCTCGTTGGGCACAGTCGGCAAACCATTCGTAACTGTAATCCGCACAAGCAGTGGAATCGCGGTACCACAAGATCCAACTCCATCGTTGGGTCGTTTCGGGCTCTTCGAGTTTGTCGTACACTTTGACGCCATGAAGAAGTGTGGATTGATGTACAACGGCATCGCCCTTTTTCAGTGCCATGAATTCGTGTTGTCCAAAGCCGGTACTGACATATAATCCACCCCGATAATCCCGTCCGTAATCCGATAACGACACGACGACGGTAACAATGGCATGTCCATCGTGGTGCGTAGCATGGGACACTCTGTCTCCATGTCGATACCGTCTAATGAGGGAATAGCAAGGCGTACAGGCTCGTGACGGTCCTTTATTGCTGCAGGCGTCCGGGTAGTGTTGTTGGACAAAGGGTGTCAATACAGTCGTCAGATAGGGTTGGAGAATGGCCTGGAGTTTTTCTCGTAGTTGGATGCGATAAGGGAGAAAATTGGGATCCGAGTCTCGGACCTTATTGTTGCCCTGACGTTGGTAGAGATCGGGCGAATCCACAAAGATTTCATAGGTGGGCATGCCATCGACCGTGTCGGGATCTTCGTCCAAATATTGATAATCTTGGAGGATGGACAAGACATTGTCCACACTGGAGCGACTCAATGCTTGTGGCAGGACCGAGAATTCCGTGGCCAAATTGATACTTTCGCTATTGGCAGTAGCACTATTAATAGTACTGCTACTAGTACCTGAATTGGCAAATTGATTGATTTGTGTGACCGTGCCGGTAGACACTTGCACTTCGCGACCATTGGAAAGTGACACCGTCGTATTCTCCACAAAATTGGTAAAGACCACTGGTTCGGGCAGATGAGAGGGTAGTAACGATCCCACGGGCTTGTCACCAGTAGTACTGGAAGCGGGGCGACAGGTATCACTCGTAATGCCATCATCGTTGAGACATCCTAGATCTTCTTCTACCAACAGAGGTTGCGCTTGTGCTCCATGGAGTTGATTCAGAGAAATACTAGTAGTAGTAAAGCAGGCTGCTTGGAACAGAAAATATAACTTCATCTTCATTCAATCAATCAAGCACAAGCACTGCAGATGATGGATGGATGTCTTTGCGGACGGTTGGATTGCTCTTTTATGATATCTACTGATGGCGTTGCAATGGCAGGAATATTGTACCATACAGCTGAGCTTCTGGCTGCTGAGTTAGTTAGTTGGAACTACAATGGGTTGTTGTTGCTGGAGCCAAGCAGGAAATGTGGAACGAAGATCTTGCATGATGCCAAGAGTTCCCGAACTGCCACTTGTGACTGTGTGCCGGAGAAAGATGCCTCCGTTACTCCCATCAGTGGCTAAATAAAACCTAATCTTAACTTGTGAACTGCGACTTGTCAAACACTACCGGTACATGGACCTGATCAGCAAGGATCTCTGCCAAACAGGATCCTTCCTCTCTTGTTGCAAGCTAGCTAGCCATACCATACATGTAGCAATCTCTTTGCAAACCTGAGCTAGCTAACCATCATGCCTTGCAACCTTGAAGAATGGGAGCTAGCTGGCTGCCTTTATCTCCCTGGCATCCTAATCCAAGAGCTCAGCAGAAGCAGAGGATGCAGTACCATCACCATCCTCTGTGACAATACTGCTGTGGCAGCATGGCATGACAAACACTGCCCACCATGCACTTCAAGCTCTTCTACCACTTATCTGAAACAGCTGAATGACATTTCAACACCACTGGCAAACCTGCAGTCACAATGCTGCCACCAAGAGCCAACTGGCTGACAGTTGCTCTGCTTTGTGGAACTTGACTGGCTCACAACTGGTTGTACAATTCCATTCAGGGATATCCAGCATCTCCCCAATGTTAGCCATGATTCGTACTCCTCATCATTCAACCTTCAGTGTCCACAGTTGGAGGATTTTCGGAACATAATTCCAGGAGTGTTTGGCGGAAGCTGCCCAGCAACTCCTCATCTACAGCATTCTCTCCACTCCCCATGAACACACGTTGTTCATGCACCTCAAAGACTTCTACCTTGGCACTGACATGACCCGCTATGAGTACGAAATGTAAAAGGATTTCCACTGATGTTGTTTCCCATCAAAGGTTCTGACTTAGCAATTCTTTTAAAAGCAATAGTAGCACTATTCAACAGACAGTATTACCGCCGTGTAGCTTACTTGTCATGTCGCTTCCGAGTCACTACTAATCTCCACAACCTTGACTGCCCGTTTGACAACACTGAGCCATATCTTGTCGGGAAAGCCTTCTGCCATTGATCCTCCAGAGATTCTTCAGTTTGAAAAAGCGCAATTGGTCCTGAAAGACGAGATGTTGAAGATTGATTAGGTTGATACTACTGGTGGTATTCTCTTCCGTTCCGTCGATACTCCAGAGCTCCAGAGTGAAAGTTCCCCCGTACCACTCGAGCATTTCATAGTTGACGGAAGAATTGCCTCGTGGCGTCAGATCTTTGAGCAGTGTTGCTGTCACAGCGCCATCTTCGTCGGGATGGACAATCCAAGGCGCTCTGTCATGCACACCGCCGTCAAAAACGAAAATAATGCTATACTCGCCGTATCCTTTTTTAAGAGTTGATAGGCAGTGAATATTCTGGTCATGGGAAAATGTCGAAGGCCAACGATGCCGTTGAGGAAGAGTTGTCGTTGGCGGCTTCAACGATGGGTAGGATGCCACCAAGCAACCACAATACGACTGTAGCAGCACACATCGTCTTCCCAAGCAACATGGTCTGCGTCCTTCGTTGCGTGTAGCTAGCTGGGACGAGATCTGGAAGTTCTCCCGATTGATTCGATTCGGTTGAGTCAAACGACCGGTGCCGGTATCCACGAATGAGCCTTGGAAGCAACGGTGTCGTATGGGACCAGTGGGAGAGCATAACGGAGATATGGCAAGTCACATGTAGCCAATTGTTATATAGATATTGATGATGGTTATAATAATTACCATGGTAGGAATACGTGACACTTTCACGACTGAAGAACATGTAAATACCAAACCTGTTATACCGTACTCGCCGATCTTGCAAACTTCATCATAAACTTTGAAGAGATCGCTGACGGAACAGAAATCGCTGACTCATCCGAATCAATCAAGACACTCGGCACACAAACTCCGGAACACGATACCGGTAGCCAGATCCATCGTCAATCGTCAATACTCTTCACTGCTAGAACTTCGTGTCAGCTTCAAAGGCAATGCCGGACGTCCAGCCTTCGAAGTTCCAGTGGAATGACTGGCAATGGAGAATTCCGGAGACTGGTACGGAGGAAAAACAACGGGAGTACCAGAGCTGCAAGCCGAAACCGAAGAATGGGTGCCCTCAGGACTGTTCAAGAGATCCAGACTCTTCTTTCGCACTTCAACAGGTGGAAGCTTCGCAATGGGATGTTCGCCAAAGATCATGACTGGA